TACAAACCCCCCCCCCTTTTTTAAGGGCCGGGGGGCCCGGGTTCCCAAAAATTTCAAAAAGGGTTGGGGACAGGGCCCCCCTCCCCGGGAGGGAAATCCGGAACATAAAAAAAATTCCCCGGAGGAAGGCCTTTTAAATTTCCCCCAGGGGTTTATCCCCCCGGGGGGGGGGGGGGGGGGCCTTAAATGGGCCCCCTTCCGAAAGGTTTTTAATTTCGAAAAAAAAAAAAAGGGAAATTGGGTCGGAAATAAAACTTAACCCATCCGACAGGTCTTTAATTTCGACATCCCAAAAAAAAGGGGGGGTTAATTCCCCCCCTTTGGCCCCCCCGCCCCCGGGGGGGAAAGGGGGAAAACCCCCCCCCCCCCCCCCCCCGCCTTTTTTCCTCCCCCCGCCTCAACCCCCCCCCCCCCCCCCCTCTCTCCGGGCGCGATGTGCCGCGCCTCCTCACGGCCGGCGGTGTGAGCAGGCGACGCCATCTCCTTCTTCCACCCGGATGAGGACGCGGCCGTCGCCGGCAAGCTGGCGAAGGTGCTGCGGGACCATGGGCAAGAGGTGCACCTCTAGCCGAGAGGCAGCCGAGGGGCAGCCGAGGGGCAGCCGAGGGGCAGCCGAGGGGCAGCCGAGGGGCAGCCGAGGGGCAGCTGAGGTGCAGCCGAGGGGCAGCCGAGGGGCAGCCGAGGTGCAGCCGCCGTCGCCGAGGTCTAGAGAGCTGGCATCTTTCACGGACATGTCCCGCGAGTCTCCTTTCTGAGTCACCCCCCGTCGAGATCCAGAGAGCTGGCCCACGGACCGCGGGCAAGGAGGGAGAGTCACACTCTCGGTCGCAGTGACACGGAGCGAGTGACACGGAGCGACAGCGGTGGATCATGACCTCCGGCAGGTGTCCGAGGAGCTGCACGACCTCGTCAAGGCCAACCCGAGCCCGTTGGGCGGTTGGTTGGGTCGGTCATTCATTACTTCACTCATGCGCAACTTTGCCTAGGCCAACTCGAGCCGCCGCTTCAGCACCCGCTCGTTCCGCGGCAACGGCGGGCAGCGCAACCGCCGCGGCGGAGGCGACCGCACGAGATCACACGAGACCGCAAGATCACCCACGACTGGCACGAGATTTGCACGAGATGACACGGGTCGACCCAAGATCACCTTCGCTCACCGGGAGATGGCCCGAGGTCGGCCCAGATCCCCCGAGGTCATATCTCGGTCACATCTCGGTCGTATCTCGAGGTCGGCCTAGGCCACACGAGGCCACACGAGGCCACACGAGAGGCCGCCCGACGATCACCTTGAGGAGCATACCTAGGCTACCGCCGCGACGGCGGAGGCAACGGCGGCGCAGCCTACGCCACGCGGGGCCGCAACGGCGGAGGAGGCTACGGCGGCGGCTACGGCGGCGGCGGTGGCAGCTACGGCGGCGGCGGCGGAGGGCGCCAAGGTTCCCGCCGGCGCGACTTTGACCGCTTCGACGACGACGATGGCTACGGCGACTTCGACCGGCGACAGGACAGCGGGTACGGCAGTGGCGGCGGCGGCGGCAGCCGGCGCGGCGGCGGGTACGGGCGGCGGGGCGGGTCGGGGCCCCGCGGCTCGGGCGGGTCGGGCGGTCGTGGGAGCTACCTGGATGACGAGTTTTGAGGCGCTTTCGGGGAAGGAGGGGCGGGAGGGGCGATCCGCTCTTTCGCCGCTCCAGCGCGGTGGAGGCGGCGCCAATCTCCGCCGGCACCGCCACCCACAGCTAAGGGACGGGTTGGCACAGATCTTGGATACCTCTCTACCCAACACCGTGGGACGCTGCTGCACTGGTGCTGTCAGGCCTTCTTTTCACACGCTTGCTCTCTCTCCCTCCTCTCTAACATCCACACAAAAAAGTAATACGGGGTGTGGAGGGTGAGTTGACCAGGGGGTTGTGCGCCGGGCCCTCCTGCTCGGCGGCTCCAGCCCCTGTTGATAGGTCCAGGTGATAGTCCTGGATGGGCAATGCATACGCCTCACTGGGCCTTAGATCGCCCGCCCCAAAAGGTCGCACCCGCCCGTGCCTCCGCCGTCGGCTCCGCCGCGAGCGGCGACGGTGAGGCCGCCGGGGCTCACCTATACCGGCTAGTGTGGAGCTCTCAGTGTAGTTGCGTGTTGTACTAGTGATGCTGCACTAGGCGGCCCGTTTTTAGCAAAAACCAGATACCACATCGCGCGTGGTCATCGAAAAACCGCATGTTCGCCCGTCTGGGACCTCTTCGTACGGCTCCAAAAACCGCTCCTTAACGACGACTACGCGGCCCTGCGGTCGATCTGCGCCTTCTGAGCGGTGGAGGGGATGTGGGCGGTACGTGTGGACTGCGTGGTCATGCGACGGTTTGACGAGTGCGACTCCCAGCGTCGACTCTGCGACCCCACGGAGCCTCTGCTGCTCCGGGGGGGGGGGGGTCTGCAGACCACCCGGCCGAACTTCAGAGTGGCGGTGCTCCTCAAATACCGCTCAAACGCCCACGATGTTGTGGAGGGGACATATGCTGATGATCCTGGCCCGATTGGTTCGCTCAGAAAGCTTCTGGGCGGTCGTTAAGGTTCGCTCCCCGCACAACGGCCCGGAAGTATCGTACCCTAGATGCGCCCTGACGCTCTACACACAAAGGCACAACCCCAAGAACAGTCGAGCACAGATCCCCAAGACATGTCGGAAGGAAGGCAGCACTGGGTCCCAGGAGGGCGGGCGTGATTACTCCCACAACTCTTAGGCGTGTACGAGTATTTGGAGGAGGAGGGAGAGCGGCGGCTGCAGATCAACGCGCAAAACTGCAAACCACCCGAAGGGCAGCGCGGCGCCCGCCCCCTGCCGCGCCTCTTCACACCTCCAACCGTGAACAGGCATCCACTGCAAGACGTGCGACATCAAGTGCCCCTCGCAGAACATCGACTGGGTCGTGCCCGAGGGGGGCGGCGGGCCGGCGTACGCCGGCATGTGAGCGAGGCGGCCAGGGGGTAGCGCGGAGACGCATCATGGAGGGCGGGCGGCGGCGGTGGGGTAGGCGGCGGCGGTGCAGGCCCAAGCGCAGGCGCAGGCGCGGCGGTCGGGGTGCTCCGCCAGCGCCGGAGGGTGGAGTTGGGCGATGAGGGGGGCACCACGTCTGTGAGTGTGACTCTTCCATTCCGCCTCTCTCCACGTTAGGGTGCCCACAGGACCCAAAAGAAAATAGCTTTCCGACTCAAAAAGGGACGCACGAGGCAAATCTGATGTTGGCCAGTTCCAATAGGAGCGAGGCCTCTTCCGTTGGGGGACCGAGTACATAGGAAACGAGGGTTTCCCATTGTGACCCCCCCCTCCTCCCTCCCTGCCTCTCTCTTTTCTTTTGTTTCGCTGGCTGGTGGTGGCTGGGCTTAGTATGCCACACACACGCACCCCTTTGAGGTCACAGCCCCCCCTCCCCCCTCACCCCACTCGTCCCCACGATTTCTTTTCCTTGTTCTTTTCGGTTCTTGTTTTTAAAACTCCCCACTTTTTTCTTCTTTTATTTTCGAGTTGTTTTTGGGGGGCTCCCGCGCGTTCACCGGAATTTGTCGCATGGCCGACTCGCGCTCCTGCTCGGGCGACGACAGCGAGGCAGAGCGCGAGGCTTTTTTCAGAGCGCTAGACGAGCACCAGGGCCGCCATCTCTGGAGCCGCGCCGACTCCGGGGCCGAGGAGGAGACGCCGTTCGGCGATCCCGCGGGCGGCGTCCGCGAGGCGACCCCATGGCCAGGCGAGGCGGACGGAGTGATCTACCGGCCGCACGGCTCGCTGCTGCAGTCATCGTTCGCCCCTCCCGACGGCCGCGCCTCCTTCTGCGAGCCGCTGCCGCAAGCGCCGGCGACGCCGCTGCCGACGCCGCCTCCGCGCCATGCTACGCCCTTGTCGCGGCAGTCGGCCGAGGCTGGCGGTTGGCTCACGCCGCGACTTCCGAGCGGCGCGCGCTCGCGCGCGGTCGGCGCGTCCGCCCTCCCCCACTCCCCGGGCTCGGACTCCGCAGCCCTCGAGCTGGAGCTGGCGCGGCCTCTCTCTCTCTCTCTCAGATGCTCCGCCTGATTCTAGCCCCCCACCTCTCTCTCTTCCTCTCTCTCTCTCTCTCTCTCTCTCTCTCTCTCTCTCTCTCTCTCTCTCTCTCTCTCTCTCTCTCTCTCTCTCTCTCTC